TTAAATATTTTTATCGTACATATTATTAGCTATCGATCCTAATATTGGAAAACTTATTTTACATTTATTAAATAAAAAAATTCTAGTCAGATTTACGCAAACGTCAAAAATTAAACATTTGAGGTGATGTCGGTAAAAAAATTAAAAAAAAAAAATACAGCGAACTTGATGCATGTCGTTGAATAAATGCGTTAGTCGAAAAGAAAAGAAAATCTTCACATATATTTATATATATATAGGCAATCGTTCGTTGTTTACGCAGCGCATTGAAACCCTTTTTAGTGTGCGTTTCGCTGCAAAAAGACCTTGAATAATAAATTAGTTGCTTTATTTTTTAGCAACAAATCTAAAAGCAAACAAATTAATTAAAATAAGCAAATCTTTTGGTACAAAATAAGTAACTAAATTATTATATTTACCTTCAGATGTAAAATTGTACTTTTTGAGTTACATATCTTTTTATCTGTTTAAAATTATAAAGCAAAATTTTGAATTTTCTTTCCAGAAAAATTATATGCAATAAAAACTGCTACATAACCGATAAACGTCAGAGAAAGTACCTTCTCCAGGTGTTTTTTCGGTATTGTATCATTCTTAAGATCTCAATCACTTTGTCTGTTATTTTATCAACTACATACTCATCAGTGCACTCTATTAATTCCGATTCATCTCTAATTTGTTTAGATTTGTTTAGAAAGATATTCACGAGCTTTATTATATTTGTCTCATCACTTTCATATTTAGACGCAGCATTTTTAAGATATGCGACGGTTCCTAGACTAGTTGAATACTCGGATAATTGAAGTTTTGTATTAGTAATTTTCTTTCTAATCGAAGTAATAACATCTTCTTTAGGAGTATCTAATTCTTTGCACACTGAATCATCCAACTCAATACTACCATCATATTTTTGTTTAGACATAATTTCTTGACATTTATCGGGAGAGGCTGCGTCTTGAACAATATTATTTGTCTGCGCGATCTAATAATTCTTTTTCTGCTGCAGTATCTCCAATTTGTTCAGAAAGATATTCACGAGCTTTCTTCCCTTTTATCTTCCCATAGTTTTTGTGATGTGGTGCAGCAACTTTAAGGTAACTAAGAGTAAGTGCTGTTTTCCACCACGGCTCTGAATTGGGTAATTTAAGTTTCTTATTTTGTGTATATTTCTTCACTGTAGGTACTACGTCTGCAACAGGAACATATATTTCTTTACAAACTGTATCGCTAATTTCAAAAAACCCGTCATCCTTTTGATTAGAGGAATATAATATTGTTGCAATCGATATTCGGTTTGAATCCGAGGAATCAAGATGACCATTGTATGTTCTAATCGTTGAATTATTAACTTCTGGAAGGAACATATCAGTTATATCACAGTTGTTAAAGCTTTTGTATTTATTATCATCATGTCTTAAAAATTTATCAAGATTTAAGCTAAGTTTTTTTTTTTTTTTGTTTATTTTTTGAATTCTCGTCTTCATTGTCTGAATTCTCGTCTTCATTGTCTGAATTCTGAAAAACATTACTATTTGCTCTACTGTTTCTTCTAGTTTGTTGTTCCATAATTTCATCTTCGTTATCCGAAAAAAAAAACACGAAACTACGTCTACTCTTTTTTCGGTTGACCTTTGTATGTTCTAATCGTTGAATTATTAACTTCTGGAAGGAGCATATCAATTATATTATAGTTTTTAAAACTTTTGTATTTATGATCATCATCAAGTCTTAAAAATTTATCAAGATTTAAGTAAGTCTTTTTTTTTTTTGGGTTATTTTTTGATTTCTTGTCTGAATTCTGAAAAACATCATTATTAATTGCTCTACGGTTTCTTCTAGTTTGTTGTTCCATAATTTCATCTTCGTTATCCTAAAAAAAACACGAAACTACAACGTCTACTCTTTTTCTCTTTTTCTGATTTCGATTTGTTTGTAAACATTGATCGAAGTTTAGTATTTTTAGTCTTCTTTTGAATTGTTTTATTGATTTCTTCTTTAGGAACATCTAGTTCATTACAAATTGTATCGACCAATTCAATAGAACCATCATCTTTTTGATTAGAGACGATGTCCTTGCATTTTTCGGGAGTTGCTGATTCTTCAACAATAATGAGAGCTTCAGCTTTTTCGTGATCATCAAATTTGTCTTTATCAAATGTAAGTACATCTTAAACCTTATCACCAATTTAGAATCCGCTTTATAAATGTCATCGAAAAAGTTTTTAACATTTTCAGTAGCAGCTTTAGCACCTTCTTGAGCATCTACAGCTTCTTTAGCACCTCCTACAACATCTCTAGTACCTTCTTTAACACTTTTCTACAATATCTTTAATTTAATTAATATTTAAATTGAATAAAATCGATTATATCGACATAATCATATAAAAACATTCATTTTCCATTTACATGTATTTTACATCTAAAACAGTTTAAAATTTGCTAACAGGGAACTTATTTATTGCATTTTATGATTTTCGTTTTACTGTTACATTTATTAATAATAATACAGGCCATAATTAAGGGTTTTAATAAGGTGACCCAGAATCGCTCGGAAAAATAATTAGCGGAATGCGTACTGTTTCCGTTCTTGGCATAGTTTTTCAGCTTCTTTTTTCTTATCACATACCAAACGTGAGCATTCAGCATACATAATTTCGACTCCATTTCAAAATTTTTGAATAATATTTACAAAAAATTAAACAAAGACCAAACACCCTTTTTTAAGCTTGGTTCACAGCAAGAGCTTTCTTCGAAGTGCAATTATCAATAAAATTCTAAAGAGTCAATTCCCATTTATTTCACTAACCACTATTAAAAGAATTGGTTTAATCTACCAAAAAAAAGGACGTACCGCAAACATTGCCCAAAACGTGACACACTCGTTATTCTTCATGTGTTTCAGGAGTTAAATTTTCTATTAACGTTTTCTAATTCGGTGTGTTTTCTTTTTATATTTTGCTAAAAGCATCCACATTGTCTTATTCACTTTGTTTTGTTGTTCCCCTCCGATCTTTGTTATCCCTGCTTTGTCGTTCAGCACTGTATATATATAATAAATATACAACTAAGAACAACTTCTCAAAAGTTAAAAGAAAATATTGCATATAATGTATTTACAATGTACTCACGTGCTAACAAAGACACGGACTTTTTAATTGGCAGATTATTTAATACGGTTCGAATTACGGAAACAACTGATGTTCCCTCACTCTGGGAATTAATAAATTTTTGGTATGTTTGATTCTCCCATATTCTTTCCCTATTAGATGAAAAGTAGTTTGTACGATGAACAATTTTCAAATCTCATGAAATATAATTTTCAAAAAACTTACAACGTGTGTTCTTAGTAACTTCCCGCAGAGCATATTCATACACATGTGTTGTGCAAGAGTTTCACAAATGGATCCTCAGTGAGATCATCATCGATGTTTTCTATACACCTTCTTTACGAAAGAAGGAGTTGTACCTTCATTTGTTTGCAATTTTTCGGTGGGTTCCTAAGAATACATTTCAGCTCAATTAAAATTCATGTCTAAGTTAATGTAAATTTTTAATTTCAACTTACTTTGAAGGATTCATAATGATCCGATGACAAGCCACTGTTAAGCACATAGTTCGCCCTTCACAATATGGAGGCCCATGCCTTGATTCTTCATTCTTTAGTTCGTGTCCAACAGACAAACATTATAAACACGATCCTAAATAATTTTTTTTTAATATTAGGACACTCTTTGAATCCATGTAAACTTTTAATTTCAACTTACTTTAAAGGATTCATAATGATCCGATACAAGCCACTGTCAAGAACACGGTTCGCCCTTCGCAATATAGAGGCCCATGCCTTTGATTTCTGCATTATTTAGTTCGTGTCCAACAGACCAACATTATGAACACGATCCTAAATAATTTTTTTTTTTGATATTAGGACACTCTTTGAAACCATGTCCTAATGTGAGCGCCTTTCTTGAAAGGTCTTTTTGACGGAACAACCGATGGTGATGATGCCGATGATGCCGTTTCTGACGGAAAAACCTATGGTGATGATCCGTTTCCGTTTTAGGTTACGAAAAAAAAGGTCAAATACTACCACTTATTTGAGCGGCGACATCAACCAATTTGCTGCAAAGATACATAAGTATATTAGCATCTCATAAACTCATTAGTTACGATAGCATGTTAGCGTACCTTAAACACAGAATACAATTGATGTTTTTTCTCAAGATTTTATCTTGCAATCAAAGATTTCTCTGTATGAATTCACAAGTGATTTACTTGGTAACCTGATTTTTTACTTTTTTAAAAACTAAAATAATATGCAAAGTCCAACCTCTTTTGCCAAAAAAAAACCTTTTTGGTCTCAACGGACAGACTCCCGGGCTCTTCTTGATTTAATCGTAGATTCAATGATTCCAAGGTTCAAATCGTTGCTAACTCGCAGGTTTCCTTTTATCTAAGAATGATATCTCTTTGTATGTTTGATGGATTGAATAGGAATTTTTAAGTCGATTTTTCGTAAAGATTTTAAAAACAGCGAAAAATGAATTATGATACGTGACAACAAAATTTTGAAGATAAATAAAATCAGTGATCGGTGATTTTTAACTAAATTCACATGTGTGTAACAGACAAAATCACTTGATCAAAGTACAACAAAAAGTATGATTGGTTAAATCATTTAGCTTCGACAAATTTCCGGTACTGTATTTTTTTTTTTATTATAGAAAATGCAAGATGACATTCCCAACGCACTAATCCTGTAAAAATATAGGGACAACAGGTAAATCGATGACGACTTCTGCTGATAATATCGGGAAGTTCATATAATGGGTAGAACAAATACAGTAGCAACTTTTTCCATCATCTTATATACTATATATATATATATATATATATATATATATATATATATATATATATACTGCATTTAATAATTATATTCATAACGAATAATTTTTAAAATCTATATAAGAAAAAATTATTCATCGCAGAAGGTGAATAATGGGGAACTAGCTCAGATGGTAGAGCGCTCGCTTCGCATGAGAGTTTGCGAGAGGTACTGGGTTCGATACCCAGGTTCTCCATAATCCAGTTTTTTTAGTTTATCCCCTCCTTTTATAAATTCATCGTTGCTTATTCTTATTCGCCACAATCTTTTTTTTAATAAAAAAAAAAAAAATTTTTTTGTAATCCCACCGAAAAAATTCCCGTTAATATTAATCTCAATAAGATGGAATTTATTAAATAAAAAAATTAAATTTGTATTGTATAACGTTAAATTATAATTTTTTTTTAGTTTTGATAATAAATTTTTTAGACTCTAAAAAAAAATATAAAAAAATTTTTTGATATAATGATTTAGAAAAGATTTTATTTGAATTATTAACTTATATATCTAATATAATGAATTCTTTGCAATGAATTTAAAAATATTTTATGTTAAGATTAATGATAAAATATGTTGAAATACGTTGCACTTAAATTACTTTACGGATTAAGATCTTAAAATGAAGGATTGTTAAAAGCGGATTATAATATTAATTTTAACCATCCATTTTTAAAAATGTCATGCAACATCAAAAATGCAAATATGGTAAATATGGAATCTTTGTGAAAATCTTTAACATGAATGAATTTTGAGATAACTAAACTTGTCACTTTTGTATTTCCTCAGATCTTCACATTAAATTCATTCACTGAATACAAATCCGATAGCGTCTATCAAATATCGCACCATTTAAACGAAAGATCATATACTATATATTGTTCAATATTTACTCTTTTTGTAAAAAAAAATACAATCATAATATTTATAATAACTTACGACTAAATATATACAGTATATATTCATTGAAACCAAATCCGATAGCGTCTATCAAATATCGCACCATTTAAAACAAATCCGATAGCGTCTATCAAATATCGCACCATTTAAATGAAAGATCATATACTAGATTGTTCAATATTTATTCTTTTTATACTTATTTAAAAAATATATATATATAATTTTCAAAAATCATAATACTTATAATAACTTACGACTAAATATATAAAGTATATGCTATTTCAGGTATAAGAAAAAAGAACTTTACAAAACGGAACATGAAAAAATTCTAATCATCAAAATTCGAAGCAATACTAAAAAAATAATTTTTGATAAATTTCTCAATTGATAAATCATATAATATATAAAATAGAATTATTCGTACGGGTACAAAATTTGACCACCTTTACGATAATTATACTCTTTTATTGCCTCAAATAAGAAAAAAAAAGGTATACATTATTGAATACATTATTAAGCTTTATAAATTTGTTATCATTACTATTTACTTCAAAAAATATGGATCTATATATAACATAAATTAGAAAAAAAATTAAAGTATTTTTATTAAAAATAATGTATAGAAATTTAAAGAATCGTATTAAAATCACACTCATTACAACTTTCATAACTTTTTTGACCTAGAGATTCATCACAACAACATTGTAATTCATGTTCATTTTCAGAGCAACCTTCAAATTCATTTGAACTTAATTGATCATGAGATATCACTTGTGGTGGTTTACATCCGCAAGGTGGTGATGAAGGTGGTGGTGCACAAATATCGCAAGGTGGTGATGAAGGTGGTGGTGCACATATATCGCAAGGTGGTGGTGTCACCAAAATTGCAGTTTCGGAAATTGGTGATATACAACGTCTAGATAATTGTGTACGATAAAAATTCTTTAAGTTTGGACCAGCGTATCTTTTCATTCTAGAAAAACTTCTAATATCGTCATCTCGAAAATTATTGTTTAAGTCGCATTGTTTTTTTCAGGAATTGTTTATATTAAGAGTTTAATCGTTGGTATTTATAAAAGGAAAAATATTAATTATTTTAATTGTTTGAATCTAAAGAGATGGTGAAAATTTGCGACTTTTAATATATATATATATATATATTTTTTTTTTTTTTTTTTTATAAAAAATTAATAAATCTTTTGATGTGATAAATTGAAATTTTCAATTTTATTAATTGTATTAAATTTTATTAATTAATTTAGTGATAACTTGTAAATCTCTCGTTATGCCATGAACTCATCATTTTTCAATAACCAATATCAGAATATTGATTGATATAAATTCAAATTACTGTATTACATCCAAGATCAGATCACATGCAGAACGAAGATTTCCAAACCATTGCGCAAATTGATTTTACATAGAAATTCATAGTTAAATTATTATATATCATTAGTAGTAATGTTACTATCGGAAATGTCAATTTTGCAAATTTAAAAATTCTTTTGTCTTCAAAAACATTTATATTTCAAAGATTTTACGTAATGATAATAAAATAGAATCAAGAAAATTTTACGTAATGAAGGATGATATCTGTATGTATAGTACGCGCGTACGTGCATACTAATTACACGATTACAATTTTATATTAAAGTAAAAGCACCTCATATCTCGTCAAGAATTATATGCATATACTGTATACCCTGATATTTGACATACAGTATCTTAATTTTAAAAACACATCTTGTTATCTATGCATATGCATGCATTTTTTATTAAAAATCAAATTACATATCAAAAAAAAAAAAAAAAAAAAAAAAAAAAAAA